GAAAGTTAGTATTTATATGCCGTGTGTTTTTTGTTTGTTTGTTTTTTCACTGTCTTTGACTTTCCCAGTATGTTTGTTGCTGTTGACAACAATTCAGTCCTCTGTCAGGCTTCAGTCAATGTTTTTCTTCACTACCTACCCAACTCCTCGTCGCGCACTATGTAGCTGGTGTGGTATATTTATCACAGACAGTAGGGCAATTGTCACATTTAGTGCTCCAAGAAAATATTCTCTGTCCATGTGTATTTATATAAATAGATGCAGTTTCTTTGGCTTGAATAACGATCACTGGCTTCGTACATACAGGTATACTGGTTTACCTGTTTCTAGTTGAAATATAGCCAATCTTATTAACCAAGACAGTTGGACATTTGCCACATGTCACAACACTCATTTCCAAGTGCCATAGCTTGAAACAAGTAGTCAAATCTGATATTGGCTGGAGCTTTAGTTTATATGGACATGGTAAATGGCAAACTAGATGGTCAGAAAGTAATAAAAATAATCACAGCTTTACTCCACCCACCCCAATATGAAGTAAAAGGCTGTTTATAAGGCCATGTATGATGGTTTCATTTTTCTTATGGAAAACAATTTTAATTAAAAACTTCTATGCTCCTGTACCCAACCCGTGGGGGTTCATCACACTAAACAACAGGTGTCACTATTACTAAGATAAATGTACTTTTTTTTCATTAAAATTACTGATATATATATATATATATATATATATATATATATATATATATATATATATATATATATATATTTCTAGTGAATAGTTGGTGTGTATGTAAGCGTGGGAACGATAGCATGTGAAACACTTACCCATGGGAGTGGGATTGTCATTGATCGGACTCTCCAATATACCCTTTCCTTCTTTGCTATTTGTATGATATGCCTGTGAATGGTCATCCTTCAATCCTGTGATAAAATGTTCAGTATGATCCACTACCTGGTGCACCCATTTCTGTCTCTGTTCAAATCCAGGGTCCAGGTCTCTGCAGGACGCTTCGAGACTTCGAATTTTAGATAGCATAGTATTTGTGTAATTGTAATGGTTCTCATTCACGAACTAAAACGCGCCTTTTGTCAACTTGAAGATGCACTTCCTCTGAAACAACATATAAACTTCGAATTAGCTGCTTGTCATTATTGGGGAAAAGGCACAAGAACAGGTCACATGACAATTTGATATTTCAACGCGGAGTGTTGTTTGCTTGTAGTAAATTTCCGTTGTAACGGTACATGTGTTTATAACAATAAAATAAAGGAGTAGTAGAGTTCGAATTAGAAGCAAATGACGAATTATTGACAGGTAATATTCATTTGACGCTGACTGTTGTCGATCTGTGGATAAAATGCTGAGTTAGGAAATAATAGATAAAGTTATTTGACATGAATGTATACTGATAGAAGTACCGTGCTTAAAGAGACAGTTGTCGGATACTTGGCGACATTCTTCCTAATCAGATGGAATTGAAGCATGGCGTGTGGAGTGTGTGGGAACGCACAGTTATTAAGACGGACACCCATTCCCACCACTGGCTTTACAGATACTGCAGTAATCAACGTGTTCGGTCAAATGAACAGCTGTAGGTTATATTACTGATATAAGTTTTAGTTCACTTGGAATAATTTGCCGTACAAGAATTGTATCAAACTGAAAAAAAGTTTAATTTTATAATATAACAATTCAAATACTATATGCCGGTTGTATGGCACTGTACATGTAGTATCGCGAATGACTAAAGTTCAAAAAGGTTAGTGATTAATAGGCAAACATTCACTCTTACCCGGGAATCGCGACGCCTGTACCAACCGCAGGTAGATAACACGTCGATAAATTAAACCGCAAATAAACATGGGCTTTATATACCACACGCGTCTCTAACCCAACATGACCCCCTAGCCTGTTTGCATATATCATTAATTGATATTGTGTACGGTGGTATTCGCCGTGAAATAATGAGGGTACTACTGGCTATTAATATTTTATGCGTACAAGTTCAATCAGAAATGCTACGAGAGACCTTTTACACACTATAACAACAGAAGGACGTGACCGGTCACTAATTACTTAATGAGAAACATTAGTATGTATCTGTTATGAATGACGACATCATCTATTGATGTCGAACGCGATGATTTCTGGCAGAATTATCCTCCATTGAGTTCGTGTTCCATTTCACACGTCAGAGATTTACAGAGATACAGAGCAGACTTTAAGGGTGACGGTAAAGGAAAGATTTAGAGCCACCGTGACCAATCAACAATAACAAGATGACAAACAAACGGTTAAAAAAACTATTGAATTATTATGGTTATTATTATAGTAATAAAATGCCATTGGCTATAGAAAATATTCGTGAAATTATCGCAAATGAAATCGGGAATGGAATTAAGTCTTTATTAGGGAAAGTGATGCATACTGCTGGTATGAAATAGATTAACAGTATCGATATCATTTATCATCATCAGATATCATTCAAAAAACAGAATCAATATAATAACTGGGAGTAAGCTGAAAGTGATTCAGGCAAAAAAATACATTTAAACACATGCGTGAATACAACGTAAAGTATCATTTGTAATGCATTCATAGATTAAATATGTATCATATCCAAATATTTCATCGCTTTTATGATTCATTTTCTTTGTAAATATAATTCGGGTGTTTTGACAACAATGATGTCATCATCTAAATTTATAACTCAACTATGATAATTGTTGTGATTCCCAGGGTTATTTAGAAACTGATTTCAGATAAGTCTCAACGTTCTTGTCAACCATTTCCAAAAGCAAGTCAACCTCTTTCAAGTGTGTACGGAAGCAGAGGATACACACACGAAGATAGTAAACACCGCGTAGGCGTGTGGAAGCCAGCGCCACTCTGCCATCCCTCATCAGACTGTCCAGTAATTGTTCATTGAATTTCTCGGTGTCGTTTGGAGCTTTGGCATAACGGAATACTACTACTGATAATTCTGGATATGGTCCTAACTGGAAGTCATCTCGTTCTGTAAATTAAATAAATAAATCGAACTGCTTAGTTCCACCCTAAAAAATGTCCGTTAACTACAGACACTCAGCTTTTACTTTACTTTGAAAGTAACACTCTCTACAAATACACTCAGGACATATAATGTCATTACCTGCTAGTTGTTCATAAAAGTAACGTGCTAACAATATTTTTTCCGTCAATGCATCTCTGAATGGTGCGAGTCCAAATAGTTTCAATGGCATCCACACCCGTACTCCTCTAAAATGATGGAAAATATTGTTTATCATTTGAAAACAATACGTGAACTCAATTAAGAGAGCGCATACCGCAAAAAATTGTCGTGATGGTAGGCGCACTTGCCGTATGCGTTGACTCAACGTCGTTTGTTACAAAATGTATGTTATATGCATATATTATATTCATTATGACATTGAAATGCTTATATTACCTGAAATGGCGACTGAGTTCGAATGATAGATGACATGGCGATGGTTCATCCTCACGTTCATCTTTAAAGGAATCTTGGGCGTAGGGGGCTGGACGATTCAAAGCGTTGCTGTATTTCAACTTGCTACCCTGCCTTACTATTACGCAACCACATCCATACGGAATGAATAAACCTATATGTAAAATTGAGTCATGCGCATTACAAAAAAAAACTACATGAGGACAATTTATTTCCGCTTAAAGTCTGAGACGATGTTGTTGCGTGGATACCATCCCAAACCACGCAATGCAGATGAATCTTCCGGTCGATAAATTACATCATAATGGCGAACGGTTATTATCATTATCAATATCCCTATCAGCATGAAACTCAAAATAGCATCGGAGCATCTACATGTCAACATAATTTTCCATAGTATTCGCCCACCATGCCGATAAATAAAAATTTAAAGAATAGACGTACTTTTATGCGGATCAACTGCCATTGAATCGCATCTTTCAATACCTCGGAAACTTGGTTTAGCCTCGTTGGACATAATAAAAAATCCACCGTAACAAGCATCGACATGCATCCATAAGCTGTGCTGTCTTGCTATGGACGCAATTTCATTCAATGGATCGATGGAGCCCAGATCCGTGGTACCAGCAGTGGCATACACCAGAAAAGGTATAAGGCCATTCTGAAACAAAAAATAGGAAATACTGTCATATGGTTATATTTCCCTTACTGCCATTTCAGTTGCGAACAAAAAAAATGAACGTGAAAGTGACCACTGTTACACATATAGTTTACTTGGTGGACCCAAAGTATAAACAACGTGTTGAGGATAAAAAGTAATGTGCGTTTCAGTTTTATCAACAATTTCTGTGATGTGCGATGACGTGATCAAAGTGCACGTCTAGAAGCTCCACATGATAATACGTCATACCTCTCATTTATTAGAATAAGACAAAATACTACAACTAAACTAGGTAGTTGTGTGATTTTTTTAGAATATTAGTGCGTTATCCTGTTATTACTAATAATTAACATTAAAATAGGTAACACGTAGGCGGCAGAACTTGAATAAGTAACTATCGGCAGAGGGCGTTGTAACGACGTTATTATTGTCAGAATTAACGAAGATTGATGAAGTATATAATCACCCACAACTGTGTTTTCCCTTGCGGCGTGGGTAGACTTACGTTTTTATCTTTTTCTACCATTATTTTGAGTTCTTCTGCATTCATTTTGTATGTACTTGTATCGGTTGGTACAGTGCGACGTACTGCTTCTCGCATTCCGATTGTATTTAAGGCTTTCTCCACACAGTAGTGAGCTATCTGAGTCATGTAAACCACGCACCTGTCAATTATAAACAGAGAATATGATAACGTAATTAAACAGCAGCAAGCAGGGAACCATTCACAACTGAATAAAAGCGAAGTAAATTCCACCCACGTACACAGAGGGCGTGATGGATACATACCTGCTGAAATCGACGGCTTTCACGTTTTTGCTGTCTCTTGCAGTCGCCAAGGCAAGAATAGTTGACGCGGAACCACCGGAAGTGAGGTTACCCGCGAAGCCTTCTGGGAAGCCAAATGTTCGTCCAATCCAGTTGATGACCATATTCTCTAGACACACACTGCCGGGACTGGCGTGAAAGACCGCTGTTAATGAATAAACGAATCATTTTTAAATTGGGTTCTCCGTCCAAATTAGAGATTGTGCAAACCTGAATAATGTCAATGCAAATAATCGATGAGAAATTGAACAACATTTAGTTGTCTTCTCCGTTTTAACTAAAGAATGTTATATCACAGTCCCTTTATCACTTATAAAGTTATATTTATTTCTAATAATTATGATATGATTGATAATGCAGAATATGTTAACATTTCATACAATACTAGGATAAACTATTGATGAATAATGTACCTGATATTTTTATTGTTACACTGATAAGTATGTTGGGTAAGGTATAAACATGTTTATGTCTACACGACAGATAGTTCTGTTAAATTACTATCTACTTACCAGAGTACGGGCTAACGACAGCGGCAAGGTAGTCGCCCAGCGCCGAGGGAAACACGCCGCCACCATTAACGTATGCCATATGTCCACCATGTGAATTTACCAGACCACATCGTTCAATGTTCTCTTCAAATAGTTGTAGTAGATCCTCTGTAACCAAGGACATTAGGAATTTGAAATCTGACACTGCGATATACTATTATATGGGCGTGTTTCGTGCGAGTGTATGTCCACTGGTTTTGAAATAGCGAAACTTAGTTCCAATTTAAAGGGAGGGAGTCGTCACTTGGCCATTCGGCGTGTCATTGTTTACAAACAAGCGTCTACCTATGAGCCATTGCGTTCTTAGCGTGTGTTGTTATCATCGCTTGGGACTCAATTCCCGCGCGTGCGCAGGTGACGACTGTTACCGGTAAGCCACTATTTTGGTATTTGCTATTATTTTGGTGCCGTGTCAATAATGAGCAGCCTAGGGGGTGCCAGTAAAGCCCATTTAATACTACTAATGAGCAAGCGGACAATAACTACTTTCGACAATAAAGA